TGCTGGTTGGCTTCTTTTTCATACAAAGGCGTTGCAAGTCCAGGTTTTTTATATACGTCCGTGGTTGCAGTACCGTGTGCAGTGCTTTGAAGTGAGCCCTTGTGGGGAAATCTAAGGAGTTGTGAAAGAAGCATTGGGGATTAGTAATCTGCGCTGTTGGCCCCAATTGGATCTATGGGGTACAACACTTGAAATAAAGCCATTTCCGTTCATTTTTTTATTTGGGAAAGTACATCAGTACTGATGATAATCAGAATATTTGGGTAGGAACGTCAAGTTTACACTCACTGGTTCTTCTCAGAACCATCACTCTCAGAGAAGAGATTGATTCCACGTGGTGCACCGAACTGCCAACTATCTCTCTGGACATTACTACATGTGTGTATGGCACATGTGCGCATGTGGACACACAAGCCATTGCCTTTCTTGTGGAGGACTTTTGAGTCCTTGGATTGTTAACATCAACGAAAAGCCTGTAGCTTTATCACTGTACATGGGAAGTTTGAATTCAACATGCATTCTGAGTCCCTGCGTTTACTGAAAGTTACATGTAGGTATCAGTATGCAGGTGGTAGGAGTCAGGCCTAAATGCTGGCGACACGTTGTCAACTGCCAAGTACCTGGGTTATATAATAGGCTACCAGGAAAAAAGGGACCATTCATAAATGACAGCCTATTCAACAACGTGCAACTTGACATTTAAAAATGCCCATGGAGACACCTGGATACGAGAAAGTTTAATCAATTCTGATTGGTCAAAAGTCTATGTCTTTTCGACAACTTGCACAAGGAATATACTGGTACCATAAAATGGCCGGGGGTGCTCGGAAAAATGAGAGTAAAATTCTAGAACAAAATCATTGGAAATCCATTATATATTGACTTTTTTTGACTCTTACTAAAAAGGTACTTATGAATGGGGATAAATAGGAGACTGAACACTGCTAATGTTCTCATGTTCATTCTCCTGAAGGAATAAATAATTGGCTGGTTTAAACATGCAAGCACATATTTTTTCCCGTATTAGTTGACAAATTGTTGCTAATTGAACCTGGCCTCTAGGGCAGTGTTGGCTGAGCACTGTGGATGAGTACAGATGTAAATTTGGATCCAAAAAATTCTGAAATATTGGCAAAAGGACTCAACTTGAAACTTGAATTAGAGACCTTGCGCATGTTCTGATGCAAATATAGTCATGTCCAGCATGAAGTTTTGTCTGATTGTAAACTCAACTTATCACTCATAAGGCCAAACAAAAAGATTTTCTTCCGGTTACCTGCCCCAACCTAACAAATTGCACCGACCTTAACTCTTTATTGAAAAAGCAAGAAAAATAAAAAATACCGTTGCCGACCCTCGTGCTTATTTCAGGGTGTGAAATTGCCGCTTTTTTGTCGAGTATGCCAAATTTCATTTCCACTTCCTTGTCATCAACAGGTCACCAATTTTTCAGTCTTTTTTCTTTTTTTATCGCCGCGACAGCCAGGTCAAACTTCGCAAGTTCTCTTTTGGACACCAAACAGTACTGGAGCTCCGTAATATATGCGACTAAATCTACTGTAAATGTACATGCATGTGTACAGTACGTACGTGCAGTGATACATATCTAGTATCTGTACGGCTCTAAGCACAAGCCTTGTGTGTAAATAGCATCCTGGGACCATCCAGTCATTGCATTGTGATTGGCTGCCAATGAAACATCAACATTCTATATGTACACATGTCAGAAGGACTCATTACAGCCGTTCCTGCGCGAGTGGAAGTACTGGTAGTGACTTAAACAATCTCTACTATAACTCATGGTAGCCCACGTTTCACTGTGAATTTACAACTTGAAATAAGGTTACTACATTTTTGCATTAGCCGAAAGAGGGTTTCGTGACAACTGGCGCATGGCCTGCAAAGTCGTCATGTGTCATCGCACAGGGTTTAAGTACATTGCATTTTTTGTACAAGGTTTCAAACAATATTTGGACATTAACTTATCGAAATGTCAGTGCAACACAAATGCATAATTTAATAATAAGACCAATCCTCAAGTTACGAATCCGTGGAAAAAACAGTGAATGGAATATAATGTAGACCATCAAAATCACTTTTTAATTCAAACAAATTTTTCCCCCACCCTAATTTTTTTGACCAAAAAACTTTAGAAAAAAAAGATGCTACCAACCTACCCAACCTGCATGTATTTTGTTTTCCATGTAAAAGGAAACACAACTATTATTTTGTTTCGCCTGACAAGCTTCAATCCTCAGTCCACACCATGTAGTTGCCCCGGCCAAATATCATTGTGTAGTTTGATATTTCACAACATTTACTGACTGCAGAAGTGGGTATGACTACAACACTGGCAAGCTGGCACAGGCAACTACCATACAGCAGTTTGGCCTGCAAAAGCTCACTTTTTTTATGCCCTAGTTAAAGCTTCATCTCGCCTTCCAGACACCCCTCTGATCCCGCCCTCCCTCCCCCTCACGTTATCCCTCTTTTTGCCAGCCCTGCCAATAGGGACCATATTGATTGATCGGGTGTCCCTCGACACATTATAAGGCAACTGATGTGTAACATGACCAAGTTATGGTCTCCTGAAAGTTTATAACAATTGTAAAATGTTACATAGTTCTTTGCATAGTAACCTGTCCACCCCATGAGTAAAGTATTCTGTCCCCCCACCCCACCCCTTCCCAAGCTGTCGTCACCTTATTCGTGTATTCATCTCTCCCTGCTGGGGGTTTCCTAATCAGTAGCTACTGCCCGAACTAGCTACAGATGAAGTGGTCATGGTGGCTGGCACGATTCCAGCATGCTGGGCAAATTTGGGAGCTGCCACCGATTTCCGGAAAAGTGATTAGTGCAGTGCAAAAAATTTGGGCTGAGTATTACCCACAGGAAAGTCGCACTGGGAATAGTGCATGCAACTTCATCAATCATGTTGGCATATATTAAACATGATAGGTTTTTTAAAGGCATGCAAATATCATCAAGTTTCTCATGATTTTTTTTACCAAGGTGACTTGTAGCTACTTTTTTTTGGTGGGGATGGGTATGGGAGGGATTACTTAGAGGTGTGTCCCTACATGCAGCAGTTTTGCATCTGTCATTTTAACCCTGTCTGAGGAAAGTGCTCAACACAGAATTAAGCAATTTCTGGAGTGTTAGTGAAAATTACTAAGCAGTTTCTAGTGTCCACCCCAAATCAGCTCACGAGTCTGGTCACAAGTTTGAAAGAGATAAACTGTAGCCACAAGAATAGCTGATGGCTCGACTAGAAGCTCAAGTGGAGGCTTGACTATAGAGGCTGGATTGCTGATGGATTAAGAAGGGCGTGCAGTGGAATCCATTGCAGCATTAGAACCTCATGCATATACAGTGCATCTGCACTACACATTTTTGTCACTAAAAAACAGATTTACTAAACACACCAAAAGTGCTTGACGTATCAACACTCCAACCTACATGTTGTTAAATGCATATCGCCCCGTTTTTCCAGCAAATTGTTGTTTTCCTAAACAGATAAATCCACCGTTGCATTCCTCAAATAACCCCTTCCTGGAACAGTCAGGCTGCATCCTGTCAACTATGGAAAGAAGGGGCCAGTCACGTTACTAGTGTTTGCCCCCAATGATGTAACATTTCTGTGTTTCATCATCAACACATAAAAACGTTTGTTTCCGATGTGAATCAGTAGGCAGGCTGTAATTTGAGTGAAACAGTAGTACAGCACTTTATGATTTCACACAGAACAGTTATTTCCTTGTACAGTCAAAAAATGGAAGGAACAAAATTCAGGTCTCAGCTTTGACATTAAAATTGACGTTAATTTTTATTTCAAAACAGGAATCAGTCCATTGTTTCAATACAGTTTTGCTTCCATGCTGATGGAAATGAATAGGTCAAAGAAAGCGTAAGACTCAGCAAAAATACGATACTATCAGGGAAAGTGACAGCAACTTCCTATCCTCATTTTCTGTGTTTTGTGTCATTTGCAATAATAATAATAATAATAATGAGCATTTATAAAATGCACTCAATCCACCTGAGAAATACCTGTAGGCGCTCATGGCACTACAAAAGTAAATGATTGTAGTCATGTGCAGGGAAAAAAAAGGGGGATTTGTTACAAGCTAGTGCCATAAGCAAGGTTATAAAAGTACATGTATCTCTTGAGTGCCTTTTTGAAAGAGCTGAGAGATGCGCTGGACCGTATGTAAGCTCATTAATGGGTACCCATTGCTTGAGTACCCTGGTGACAACCACAATGTACATGTAATCATTACTCAGCCCATAGGCCGTTTTCCAATACTCAACTTCGTCTCCATGTGAGCTTTCATGTAGGAAACCAATCCTCGATTGTGGGCCTGAAGCGTTCAACTTAAATTAAAATACTGTAATGTTTAGCTCTTTTGCATCTTACTTGATGTTTTGTGGCACTTTCAGACTTACTATTATGCTTATAACATCAAAGTCAGGAAGTTAAAAAACAGTTGAAGCCTGAGACGGAGCCCAAGTCAAGTATTGGAAAACAGCCCTAGCCAGTTCAGCAGCAGCTTTTTGATACTCTGATAATGGCAGATGGGCTCGAAGACAATTATTAAAAAAGTAGAGCTCCCTGTGTGAGGGAGAAAGGTGGAGTTTTCTGTATTTGCGAGTTATTATCTGTTTTTATTGAAAACATGATATGGTGACCAGTTTTTCATATGATTGTTTACCATGGCGTTTTGAAAATACAAATGAGAATTGTAAACAAAGTGGTTGATTTAATTAATTGACACTGCCTTTGTGTATCTGTGATGACTCCAATTAGGTAATTACATGTACTTTGGCAAATAGCTTTAAAATGTTCTGGCCTGGGTAACTTGCTTGTAGATCTGAGAGATGTCTCTGGAAAACATGACACTTTTTCAAACCAGCTTCTAAAGTCAGACTTGTCAAAGTGTTTTGAAAGAACTTGTTTATACTCTGCTGTGAATACAAACTAGGCCAGTCTCTGTAGGCTGTGTGTGGAAATGTTTTTCTGTAGGCTCTGAGGGCACCTCTCTCAAAGACTCTGTTAGGGCATGTTCTATTTCCTGTGGGAGTGTTACGAAACATGGTCAACCAGGTCAGTATGTATACATTATCTAGGACAAATAGAGAACCTGGGGACCTAGAAACTTCCTACTGTAGTCTGTCAATCTCTGAAGAGAGTTCAAATAGTTTGTGGAGGAGGTGGCTAGGGAAACCACTAGCAAGAATGCAATGGTATGTGGAAACATCCTTTCGAGAACTTGCAATGTTCCTTTCAGAAATATCAGGCAGTATCTCAGCGGGAAGGTTTGATGGTCTGTCTCCTGTTATGAATGCTTGTCACCATTGAGCCGGAGGGGTTGATGGGATGGGGGTTCACTTAGCCATGGTTTGCTTTTTGAGAGTAATGTCGTGATGGATGAGTAGGGGAAGTTCGTTTGCAAATATTCTCAGAAACTGAGGGACAGGGCTTATTCCACATGAAAAATGTCCTTTTCGCAGCTTCATCCACCCACCCCTATTCCTTCAGTCTTGAGGGAGTGGCCTTCACCTAAATCTAAGAATAAAATCTCAGCATTTGCTGAAAGTTTGCTGTTGCCTTGGAAAGTCTTCGGTTTCCTGTGAGACAATCGTTGGTTGTTGTATGCGGATAGATAACCGCACCCTGCATGTTTGAAAGAAACCTTTTAAAAAATATGCACCTCACATGTATACATTCCATTTGGTTTCTATGCAAGGAAGTTATTTCAAATCGTGAACGGTTGGGTTAGCCTGTTGGGTTAGCCGGTTGGGTGCTGTTTTGTTTACCGCTTATGGTGCAATTTGGTAAATTGGCTGCTGACACTAGCCCTCTTAAATTTTTAGAAATGTTCTACGAGTTTTAGGGAGGGTATTGTGGGGATATAGACTCCCCCCTTGCAGTAGCTTTACCTTGTATGGGACTTAACTCCCATTATGCAAAGAAACTTCAGTACTGGTAAGCTACATATTGGCCGGTAAAAGAGTTTCTTATGAAAAGTCTGGAAACTTTTGGTTTATCTGATCACAGTATAACTACCCCCTCTGCAGGGAGGTAGAGAGAGGCTGAGGGGACTTGCACCCACTTCAGACAGGCGTTGTAGGCGTTGAACCAACAGAATAAAGAGTGACTCAGATTGAGCCAATTAAATTTTGGTTTCAGACACACGTTCGCATTGGGTTCGACTCATGAAAAGAGCAACGTCTGAAACCGTCACTTTGGTGTGGTTCAGAGCGCCTTTAAGTGTCCATCTTTTGCCTGTTGGCAAACCTGGTCACTCCTAATTGTTTCAGACGTTGAACTTTGTCATACTTAATTCAAAATTTGCCTTTAATTTGGTTCGGCATGACTCTAGAATGCCTGTCTGAAACTGGCGTGTTATAAGAGGGCACCAGGCGCACTTGCAAAAACCATACATTGCAGCAGGAATTGGTTGAGCATGCTTATTACACATGTACATGCACATGTAGGCATTTATGAACCTCGACGTGCATGTACATGTCTCCTCACCAAATGAACACAACCATTGCCAAGTCAAAATTACACCATCTGGAACTCATCTATGGAGGTCATTACCTAGCACCATCCATGAGCATTTAAGGGGCACCGTGAGGCCTTGATGCAAGAAGTGTTGGTGTGAGGTGCAACATAACAAGAGAACTGTGTTGCATCCTGCAACACTATCTATTTTCTGTTTTGTCAACAAAAAGTACTCGCGGGCAAAATCATTTGGCTTGTGATGAGAGGCTACCATGAACAGCATCATTTTGTGCTACATGATCCTAGGTCAGATATCCAGCCTCAGGCCTGGTGTCCACCCATCCCCATCTCTAGCACCTGTCAAGTTTTCTGAATACATTGTTTATGGGCAAGTTTGTAGTCCCCCCCCCCCCTTCAAATTGGTCTAGCAGCTTTCATCATGGTATGGGAGGACTTTGTCACCGGGGATGCTCGCATTGACAGCAAATGCATGTACAGTAGAACCTATTTCAGACTTTAAATCATTGTGTTCGTGTTTCCTTTGTAATAAGCAGTTAATGGATTTTATTTCATACATCTTGTGGCCAGAGAACTGGTTTATGCAGTGTGGTCATGAAACGTACAGGACCAGTGCTATTAACGATCAATAGACTTGGGCCAGTACCCAGTACTGCAGTGGTCATTTCAATCTGTGAGACTCTTTTATCCCAAGCAAGCAGGTGTGTACATGTATTTGTGTTAGAAGTGGCAAAAGGACCTTCGTTGCAAAATATTTTGAAACTCTTATTTTTTCTGTGCAGGAGATGGTCAGAACCTGGCCTGTGCCTTGGCCAACAAGTCCGCCCAGCTTTTCAAGATGTCTCTGACTGGCAAGGGAACAAGTTTCATAGGTTTGTTTAATAGTGAGATCCCGCATTGGACCAAAAGACTTTGTTGGAGCCCTGTACATGGAGAACTTTCAGTTGTTCACAATACAGCAAACATTTTTAACAATTGACAGTCTGCAAATCCGGTTGTCGTAAAGTTGGTATGTGCAAAATTAGGGCAAAACATGAACAGAAAATCCCACAGCTTCTATAAAAACAACAAATGTGTTACAGGGATTTATTCAAAAAGGTTTAAGTTGGTCAGTTTTAAAAAGGATGCACATTACTTAAGGAGTTCCACCAAACAAGGATGTAAAGATGTCAAGTTACTCATGTCTTGAGAAGCACAAATCTGGTAAGGGCAGTGTGCACTATTCTTGTGTATATGATAGCAGGGAAAGCACTGTCTGCTTCACATATCCATGCATAGAAGGAACCTCTGTTTTGCTGGTTTTTTATCCTTCAGTACATACAGAGTGAAGCCAATGTGTTACTGTTATCCAGGCTCTACATTTTTACCTTGGAAATGAAAAAAAAGGGGGAGACATACTGAGCATGGCATTCAGTTCCCACTTCAGCTCCCCCCCCACCCTGTTAGGAGTACATGTGCACTTCTTCCCTGGAAAACCATTTGGAGCAATTTTACACATTTGTTGACAGCTATTTTTGTCTGTGTACAGATGAACTGTTCCAGGAAGTGAATATTGCACAGTGTTCTCCACAGCCTAAAATTATAGCAGGGTGGTACATAATGTGAGCGCGGAGCGCAAAGCCATTACGGCCTGGGGTCCGGAAAAGTTTGGATTCTATGCTCTTTGGTGCAATCTGAGGTATTTCCTGGGCACTTTCTTTTGACTCCTTGAATCAAATTTGCTTGTGTTGAAATGAAGGCAAGATTGTTATAGGGAGGTCATCAAAAGTTGATTTTTTCTGGGGCATTTTCTTTTTTCACTGATCGGAACTCGCCGTCGAGGAGATGGTTCGGGATTAGGTGTATGTAATTGTACATTGGGGCAGCGCGAGTGGATGATGTACAGTCGCTTCCCTAATTCTGGATCTCAAAAATACACTTAAATCCATGGTCAGATTCCAGCGACGAAATCCTTTGATTCCGGTGAATTATGGTCAGTCATCCGCTTCGTGTATTAGAAAAACTACAAAATTACTTTCAAAATCTAAGTTTTAATCTGAACTTATGGGATCGTCAGAAGTGAAAACACTTTTTCTAGTTCTGAGTCGGTTTAACTGGTTCTGAACAGCGACAATTTTTTTTCTTGTATAAAAAGTCAGCCAGAGCCATTGTTGCAAGCTGATTTCTAATTACGAATTTCTTGATTTCAAGAAAATTAGTTCATAAGTAACAATTTCAGCGAATCAACACGTGAAACTTGTGTAAGTTTTGACTCAACTTTTTCAGCTGTACTGCGAGCAATCAGCGATTACCCCGGCGCTGCACAGTTGATGAACCCATTACGTCACATACATGTACATTTCTTCTATGTCCATGTAGTTGAGTTTGCAACATACGTGTATGTGCAGTGTGCGTTCACTTACGGTGTAATCCACAAGTAGGAAAAGTATGCGTTTAGCTTTTGGCCTATTTACACAAAAACGGAAACTCCAAAAGTCATTTTCATTAAACATACATTGAATGCAAATGTTTATAGGACTGTTAAGTAAGAAAAAATATTTGGAATCACATGTACAGAATGACTTATCACCCGGTATTTTTTGGTTGATTTTTGTTGCTCTTGTGATTTTTGACAAACCGTTAAAAATGTCAAAGTTCAAGACGAAAATCTATCCGGCAAAAGATTTCTTTTCTAGATGCTTTCTGGAACGAAAATTTTGTACAAGAAGCTTACATTTCACCTGAACTTGTTTGAGAATGTAGAACACAGGAGAAGTAGTTTAGGAGCAGAAGAAAAGATTTATTTCAAGCGATCTGGATCTGGGAAAAATCTGGAATTACATGTAGGAAATTGGCTGTATTTTCCTGGGAAAAAACAACGCATTCGAGGTCTTGATTCTTGATGCTACAAAATGAAAATGCTATGACCAGGAGATTGGAACCAGTCCAATTTTGTGCTTTCGTACTACATGTACAGGTATATTGCGTGTGGCTTTGATCACAAAAGGTGCAAAGTGTTTTTCTGTTGTGCTGAATAATGATGGCACACTCATAATGTACATTCCATAAAGTGCGATAAACTTCTTTGCATTTAGATAAACTACGAAGATGGTGGAGAATAGGGAAAATCCAATTGAAAAAATAGCAGGGCGGTGAGAATTTCAGCAGGGTGGCAAAACTTAAGCGGGGCGGTCTAAACTTTTGGCAGGGTGACCCGCCCCTACATTTAGTTGATAATTGGAAACTTGAGTGGGAGCACTGAGCCGGTACCGTACATGATACAATCAGCTCTTGGAGCAAGTGCTGCAGTTTATTGTCTGCTGTTGAAGTTTGTTTGAAGTTCATTTCATTATATGATTTGCTTTACATAATGTGTGCTAATTCTCATTCCAAAAAGGTTGATAAGATCTATAAAGATATTGCTTTCAAGCAAAGCACAGTCAGCATACAGAAGGCTTTGCCTCAAATGCTGTGAGCACTACTGTGTTCAAATATGATTTCCTACATTGGGGCAATTCAATAGTCATCAATTTTCTAAGTTAATTTGGGGCAATGAGAAACGTTGCTGGGTAGGTTAAAAGCAGACTCTGCTCCAATCTCTTTTGGATGTTATCAGGTCATAATGCTGCCGTGAACACCGTCCACTGGAGCCACAATGGCCAGTGGCTACTAACAGCCTCCAATGACAAGACCGCCTGCATCTGGTCCACATCTGCCTCAGACCCCGTCCTCGCCCTGAGTCACACAGACCATAGCACCGGCGGAGATCCGGAAAGGCAGCGGCCCGCTGATAAGGTTAGCCCGAGACTGAAAACATGTTGAGCTACGACAACGGCCATTTACGCTGTCCCAGTGGAGTCATTCGGCATGGTTTTTGAATGTGTGGCGTTCATTTTGCCACGGACAGTAATCAGTCAAGTACCTAAAGGTAACACACTGGGAATAGCTGTCGCCACAGGGCCTATTTCCTCTGTATGTTGCCCAAGCCTCTACCCACCCCCTTAGCCCAACCCCCTCACTGCCAGGCAAGGGGACAAACTAAGGCATGTAAGTTGTAGTGCAGCCAAAGACTACATCTGATGGTCTCCATCACACCATGTCAATTTAAGACTTAGCAGAGGTAATTCCTAACACCCCCCCAAGTTACATGTAACAGGACCCATTATTTCAGGGGAAGCTTTGTGTTACTCTTGTTCTGATCAACAATTTAGTGATATGTATTTCTTTATTTGATCCAGACAATTTCGGTTTCACAAACTGACACCTGGTTGTGCACCTGCGTAGGAACCGACCTGATTTTCGTTTTGACAAACTGACACCCTAGCTCATAAAAACAATACTGCGCGAAGAAAAATGCTTGGAAAAGTCGGCAAACATCTCCATCATCCATCTGTATACTTGTTGCATCGCACAAAAATTTAATGAAAAGCCTGATGAAATTGTGATCATTGTCAGTTTGGGAAAACAAAAATACCTCGGTTCTCTAAAATGTGCACAATTGGATCACCTCTCGCACCACTGAGTGTCAGTTCTTGGTGTCTCTGACGAAATGGCACGCGAAACCTGTTGATCGTTTCATTGGAGCAGTGGACATGTTTTAAACAGCCTTGTGTCAGTAACGTTCCCAGTCAGCTTTTGATACACTCTTATTTCCAACCCCACCAATCTTGTACACAGGGAATGGTGTCTTTGCCAAGGAAATCAAGGCAGCCAGGTTCTACTACGTTGATAGGCTCCTGTTGCTGACATCTGGAAGTACCCTGTACCTGTATAAGTACGTTGTGGATACCTCAGTGGATGATATTAAAAGGTGAGTCACCACTGCAGTGGTTTGATTGGTCAAAGCCGGCATGGAAAAGTGGAATTGATCGTAAATGACATCAGTGTCCATGTCCCTATGGGACATTGTCAGATTGATTCTTTTAAATTGGCTCTTTTCAGAAGGAAATGGTTCAAAACTTCCAATGCGCCAAACTAGCCTGCAGGAAGTGTGGTGTGTTGCTTTTGCTGTTGGGATCAGTCCCCTAGGTTGTTGTTCAGAGAGTTTGGATTAACCACTTCCTGCCGGGCGACCCTTTTTCGAGTACATAGGCTTTATATGCAGAGCCGGGGAGCCTGGAACTGGGACAAAAGAGTTGGGCCTTGTAACAAAAGACCATGCTCAGCACAAAGACTGAGCATCTGGGCATTACTAACATTTTTCGCTCTCAATAGTGGAGAAAATCTAGCCTTCTTTTGAAACAGTATACTACAGTTTGAGGCATTTAGAGCAAGCGGATTACCATCGGGGACAAAAGCTCTCCACCACCGCAGCGATGAGCCACACAGCACCGCTGCACGCTAATCTGGCCCCTATTGAAAAGAGGTCAGCAGTACACTGTGCCGTTTCGGGAACAAAAGAATCTTACGTAACACCGCAAAATCTGGGCTCTTTTTCCAAGGCTGCAGGCCTGGCTGACATCCACTTTTGGTCGGCAAAAAGTATGCAGCAAAAAGGTCAAACGTTTCGACCGTAGCTTTCCTTTGACTTTTAACATGTTTAAAAATTCTGGCTAAAAAGTGCCTGCAGTTCAGATTTTTGGCCTTCATTTTTCAAATATTCGGTTTCAAAGTTGGGCTATTTGAAAATTCAGATTTCAATTGTAACACCACCTGAAAGGGAATATTACATTCAGGTATGTGTCTGGTGTGAAATTAACTACTCATAACAATCATGTTAAGTATACCATTGCTTATATAATCCAGGAAATCCCCTGACAAATATGCCTGGGTAGTCAGAGTCATTTTTCTGCTATCAGTGTTAATGTTAGTGTGGAGTGTAAATGTGGTCTTTTTTTTTCACCGCAGGTATCAATGTAACTCCCGGTATAAACTTATTAAATCCTTCCAGTTGGAGCAGGCCCAGCAAATAACGGCATTGTCTGCGGTCAACGAATTTCACTCCTGTATCCTTTGCTGTGAAAAATATTGCAAAATGTAAAATATTTGTACCAACATGTACGTCCAAGAAGCCCTCAATTTGGGCTGGATTGTCCAGGGCCTATGAACAATTTGGAAGCCTTTGAAAAACTTGAGGGCCTGACAAAATAAGCTTATGTGTTGCTAAAAAACTTCACATCGTCACCCATGGTCACGTACACAAGATAAGGTTTAAATGTTGGACCATCTCTCTTTAAATTTCTGAATTTAAGAAATTTTAAACTAGCAAGCGCAAAGCTTAAGACATCTTAACTTGTCATACCTCTCTCTTAGATACAGTACATTTATTGGTCCAGAATGATCACATGACAGGGCGATATATCCACATATCACACATATCCTCATTCTGCCAATAGTGCATGCACGCGCGCAAGACTGAAGAGCTTCGGGAGGTTCAAGAGCGAACAGTTCTGCTCCTTTAGTCAATTTTGCTGGTACCCATGATACGTTTTGTGCATAGGCTACTAGGTAATTTGATCAATGATCGGGCTTGTATAACAGACTCCTTCCCGTTTCTGCAGCGTATAAGGCACCGTAATGGGGGGACCATTAACCAGACTACATGTGCTCACTGGTATCTAGATCACTTTCACATTAAAGTTTATGCAGTTCAAGAAAGTGAGGGAACTGTACATTTCCAGATGATGTCGTTTAAGTCTGTTGGGTTAATTGTACAGGTTGACAGGAGGCCTATCATCTGTTGAATTCAGGGCTTGTTTCTTTGGATAAATTCTGTAAGACACAGGTATGACAAAACAATTGTTGACCGTTGTGGGATGGGATATGACGTTTTGAACACCATCGGGCACACATACGATAGCACCCTCAGCTTCGCCTCGGGGCACTGTGTATCCCTTGGATGTTCAAAATGTCATATCCCACACCACAGCGGTCAACAATTATTAAATGAAGTGAAAGCCTCTGGTACTAATATACACATATGGACTGCCAATACTTTCTTGAAAGGTATTTGGCGGCTAAAACACTGCCAATATTTAGAAAGTACCATCGAGAACCATGCAAACCCCATGTCCACCTGGACCTGGTCTCAATCGGCCCAACTCATCTGCTAGGTAACTGCATGCAGTCATACTCGGTATATCAATTTCAACCCCTTTATTAAATTGCACGAAGGCTATTTCCTGAGATGATACTTGAATTTAATCAACTGCTGTCAAAATGTCTCTCGAATCATAAACTGTTAGATCCTTCCCATAGTCACTTTCCTGCAAGTTTGTCATTGCGCCCTCTGTTGACAATGTATGACATCTGCAGAGTTAGACTGTTAACATTTTCATGTTTTGTCATGGTCTCATACCTTTTAGCTTGCCCAGAGTATTAAAGAGATGCAAGGAGTTAGATGTTTAACCTTTTCTGGTATCTAAATCAAAGGAGATGAGCCAGTGTCATTTTGGTATGATTTCCTATTTACAAAATGGACAAGTGTGACTGCATTTTGTTTGACACTTGAACAGTTTGCTTGCGTGGTACATAGGTTTCATGCATACAGGTGTTTCAACCTTTTCTCAACCGTTTAGCCACCAGAAAAACTCAAACTGTGTACTAGTGAGATTTCTGTCATCGCTAGCGAAAGAGCTAAGTTGGGCAATATGATCATTCAGTGATTCAGCATGATTTGATATTTCCGTTGCGGATTTGCGGCAGCGTATGTACCGACCAGCCGGGGCAAGCATTACCTGCAAGGAGCTCTCCCTAGGGCCCCCCTTGAGTTTACGCTTGCATTTCCACCAATTACTTTCTGAGTCACGTAATGCGAGTGGTCAGCTCCTTCCCCAAGTTCATAACCTCATCGCAGGGTAGCCACCGTGCAGTCCAGAAACTTGTTACAACGTTGATTTACCATTTTCCTACCAGGACCAAACAAATCAAAACCGCTCCCCAATTAGCTGGGCATGATTCATAACATCTGTAGGGGGAAGCCTGGTTCTCGCGGAAAAGTGTGCGGTTTGCTGTACTCTGTCAGAATTTTCAGTGCAGTAGTCCCACTGTAATAAAACAAACTGATAAGATCGTACTTTTGTTTCCAGATCACCCTTTCAATCATTTCTACATCCTCTTTCTGTGTATCTGTCAAGAAGAGCTATTTATATGACCGGCTGCTATTGCCGAGGCTGTTTATTCTCTCTCTCTGTGCCTGAACCCCCAAATGAAGTTTAAAAAAAAACCAGGCTTGGTCAAATCATGAACATCATTGCTGCCATGCACCAAGTGCCCAGAAAAAGGACCTTTTCAGATGAAACAAACTCCTGCACATCCTGTATTGTGTGCTGCTCACATTTGAATGGGTGTGCACGTGTAGTTTGTGGCCCAAAAGGGCACTGCAGCCAGCAAACAGAGCACCCTTTTTCACACAGTGAGCCTGTGTTTAGATGTAAGCAGCGGTCATATGAAGAAAAAAGAACACCCTCACTTCTTTTTCAGTGTAAAAATGTAAAACTGCACATCCATAATTCAACTTATATGTATTTACACCTACATGGAGTATTACACATAAATGGTCTGCATTTTTTCAGGTCTCAAGCAATCATAAATCTGTGAACAAGAGCCATATTTTATCTCTGGCTGTGTGTTTATTCTAAAGTTGTATGTGTATTTTTAAAACATAAAACATTTTTATAATTCATGGACTTGGAACATGCAGCAGTGACATTTAGTTTTTCTTCATACTGCTGTTATTGGGATTGGTTAACGCAAAATTAATCTCCTGTCTGATAAAGGCTGTTGTACCTTACACAAATTTGATATTACTTATGTTGCATGTTGAAATTTTCAAGAAAAAAATTCAAAAACGTTTTGAGAGTTTTTTCCTGCAACCTTTATGGGCCTTTCTTACGGGTCAGACTACATTCAGGGCTTTTTGCATGCTTTTCAAATGAAGCAAGATGAAAAAAAATGTTTCGTTTCTTCCTCCCGCTAAAAAAAAAGTTTGTCCCACATTTCCTCCTCCCTCCTGGTTCTGCCCTTGACTGCCGAGTGCTTCATTAGCACAGCTAGTGATCTTCCCTGGACAGACACTTTACTATTCTTATAGGATAATCACTTTCAGGGCATGCTATGCATGTGCTGCTCATAGCTGATAGGCATCCTGCTACATATGTTCATGGAAATACCTCCAAAACCACTTGGTGGTCCCTGTAACCATCATTGCTTGAAAAGCAGCTTTAAAGTCAGGGATTTGTGTTACGCTGATAAAACAGCTCATTTGTAATTGGAGGGCTTAGCTGTCAGAATCTTTTAGGAAGTTTACACTCAAAGTACTGTAATTTTGCAGAAGTACACTGGGGCCTATGTGTTTCTGTTCTTTTAACTGTTTGAAGTAGTCTTTCTTGGCAGCTGAGGGTGCCGTTGATGGGTTGCAATCAGAGCTGTTTAAATGCTGCATGCTGTACTGCACACATAATGAACAGCCATTTTGGTTCCAAAGTCTGAAGTTGGCACTACTCTGTTGATATACAGCTCTGGCTGTGATGCCACTTTCAACACTTCCAATTTCACAAATTATCTGTCCGATTATAAACCACAGTGTACATCTTTATACACACTCTGGAACATATTTGTGCATGTTTTTATGTTTTTTCCATTGACTGAAAGTAAACACTCTTGCGGTTATACAAAACGACATCATATGGATATGGAAATGAGTTTATTCGTGATCATGGAACTTTGTACTAAATGCACCGAACACCCAGAGAAGAGGTATTGCAAAGACTGATAATGATGTTAAGCACGGCTAACATCATTCAAAGAATTCTACTGGGAAAATTTCTGAGCAAAGCTTTTAAATTAGGAAGCTAGCAGCATGATTGGCAGTGCTCCTTGCTCTGTTGTAAGTTGAGTCCTACAAGTTTTTTTTTTTACTCCACAAGGGCCCACAGATTCCCTGTAGGATTAGACACACTGGTCAGTGAACTTTATCCAGTGAGTCATGAAATTTATAAATTACTTATCCGTATGCATTTATCCACGCAGAACCTTGGTTGTCTGCAAGTGGGTTATCACCAGGTCCATTTGGACCACAGCCTGGTGGCAATTCTTGTTGACACACATACATGTATTTACCAGTGATGTCAACTCTTGAGCCATACGTTTTAGACTGGAACTAGCCACCAACATGTACGTCCTGTTTGCTGACATATCTGTATTATCAATCTTGATTCCCCAATTTGATTTTAGAAATGCGTCATCATTTGTTTTCATGAAAAGGGATGGAAAATTGTTGTAAAGTGACTAGACAAGCACAGAATTTTGCTTAAGCACGAAAAAACCTTGCTTGATAAAGAAAGGTTACCAGAGAAAAAAGATGATCGATGACTCGCGATGTCGTGTTGCTGGTAGTCCATACTACGTCCGCAGTACACGGCGGGGGGCATGCGGAGGACACGGTCCAGCGGTATATAGTGGACTCTACAGCATCCAGACTTCAGTTGCCTGATGAATGCTAGCAGCACCGGCAACCGAAACGTTGCTACCAGCAACATGACATTGCGAGTCATCGATCATCTTTTTTCTCTGTATTCGTCATCTACCGCAGTGATTTTGTTTGTCTCTTCTAAAGGTAACCAGCTCAAACACAATGTGTTTGTCATGCCAACCAAAAGACGGGTAAACACCACTCCAAAACAATATACATCACAAGAAGTTTTGGCTGGTAACTTGATTTGTCAAGCAAGGTTTTTTTCATGCTTAAACAAATTTTTCGCTCAAGCAGCACTATGAAATTGGCCCCAGTGGTTGAAACAAATCTAGGTGTATAAAAAGTACTGGCTTGATTACTTCTTGTGTTACAACTACATGTAAGAACCATTTTGATTGCTTGATTGAGGACCTTGTCAATTATTAACTGGCAGATAGTGGTCAATAGTTATTTAAGTGTAACCCTTCATTGGAGCCATTGGGACAGAACAATGCTAGGCCGGACGGCATGGTCCTTGTTAGTTTTGCGGCTGTATGATGACGACCTCCTTTAAGAAGCTGCTGTTTCAGGGCACTTGTTTGCAAAGTGGCCGGGCTCGCCACACTTGAAACAAGTGACGTCATCAGTTTTCTGCTTTTTAGCTTCAGCAAGTTTGGCAGTAAAATAATATCGAATTTAATCATACACTGGGAAAAAAGTCTTAGAAAGTTAGTTCACTCACTCTGGAGGTATGTTTAGATGTCTGTCTTTTCCAGATGCTCAAAATGAAATTTTCCAATTACACAGTCTGTGCCATTATACGACCTTAACCCTCATCATCACAGATATTGTCATGTGTGCAGGTTCTGACAAGTCCTTGGAGTTTTTGGACATGAACGTGGGAAGGAGCATCCGTACCGTCCCGGATGCCCACACCAGACCAGTGCATTGCATCTGCCAGAATGAGGTAGTGCTTTCTCCCCCTACTCCTTTCTACGTCCCGTACCTCCGACTTGTCAAACCCAATTTGCTAAAAACTCTCTACTTTCATCAGAATGGTGAGAAAAGACTTTCTCGAGGTGGCTGCATGCCTTAATATTGTGTGGAAAAGGGTATCATTTGTGCACCAACCTGAGTGAGTTGGAAGGCACCACCTGACATTCTAGACTTCAAAACTTGAAATTGCATAGGGAAGAATAGTCTCAACCACATGCTCCTTAATTGTCAAAGTTTTATAAAAAAGCTGTGTCGATTTCTTGTGCACTAACAAAAACTTGTCCAAGACATTCCTAGGACTTAATTGTTTATGAGATCTAACAGCATCACAAGCAGCTGCTATTTCAGATTAGTTTACTGTCGTATGAAAAAGGGAATTTTTTTGGAAACGAAAGTCTTTCACTTCGAAGCAAAAGAGTACCTACATTCCTTAAATCCAACGTGAATCCCCAAAATAGTGTTTACTGCTGTAACGTACATGTACTGTCACACCTTCTGAAATTGGGCATGAAATATGTTCCTTTTGCCCCATGAAAAGCAATTTATTAACATGACAAAAACCTTTCATCTTTACTTCATATATTATGCCACTTGTAAACAGCCCTGCATTGGCTTTGTTATTCCATACAAAATTCCTTTTGTCGATCTTAAGATGTATCATCATTAGTGTATGTAAAAATTGGCCTTTCATTTAATTGAAACCATTTTTGGAAACCAGAAGAGTGATCTCACTGGTTTTCAGCAGCAGTTATGTTTGTAAATCTGATTCCTCCCTGCACCTGCTCTTTATCACAAATATACTTTAGGGGGGAGTGTGTCAGATATGAAGGGCATGTGTCACCCAATTGAGTATTTCCCAACTTCTCATTGTTGTGTTATACTGGAATTGAAAGTTAGTCCATGGTGATTCAATTGATTATTGTCACCTGTTTGACTTTACTGGTAGAGTGTAACAAAATGTGAGATTGCTGTCGCGTGAAACATCCGTTGTTTACCCAATCGGTGATATACATGTACTTATACACCTACAAAGAGGGGAAGCTGAGAGGGATATGAATGCCAGTAACAGCTGGTGCAGTTTTGCTCCTCTGTAAATGCTCAGTGTCCCCTGAGATCTGGTAGAAAAATATTGCAACTTTGCTTGCGTGGGACGTGAATCTGTGACCAGCTTGTTAGTTCAGAAATCTTGGCAAAACTCTGCCACAAAGTTTGTCGGGGTTGGGTGGCTTGTTGAAATCCAATACGGGATTGGGTGCCACTGGAAGTTTGGAATTTTTCATAAAATGTTGTGTCTGGGAGATGTCCTTTGTTGCCACTGTAAATTATTAAGCACTTCATACACAGTAACTTTCAGGAGCTTGTGGAGATAAAAATTCAAAAGTTTTCCATGCCACATCACACTTAATGTCATCAAAAAAGGAATAAAATTATTATTGGAAGGCTGTAAACAAGCATATTTAAAACAAAATTGGGGCCAGGTGATGATAATGCACTGAGCCAAAGGCGAGGGCCATTACTGTTGCCATGCTCGTAGGTGGCTTTTAAATATACGAGTTGGAAATGTCACTTATCACACATTAGATTAGAAGAGGTTAGAAGCTTAAAAGACGAAAATTAATATTGTTCAATTGATTTTGTTCATCACTTTTACCCTCAGTGTTGTGAAACACCACGCTAGCCATATCTGTGTCTAGCTCACACGGTGCCAAAGCCTCCCTGTGTAGAAGTTGACGTGCGTTGCACATGCTACATGATCCGATGCAGAATGCAGCTGAGCCTGTGTAGAGTGCAATCCTGACTCGGTGAAATGCTTCATTGGCTGCATGGCACTCACCTTCATGAGGATGACAATTGTCATGTATTGAGGGTTAGGTCTTCAGTGCAATGCTTGAACTTCTTACTTCCCCACACTTCAGAAACTGGAACACAGCCAGTTTCAAGCTGTGTCACCACTGTCTGTCTTATTTCTTCCTAAGGGATCTGCCTATGTCAGTCATCCCCCCACGGCGTATGACCTTTTCATCACAGCTGCCGTAGCAGATTGCGTGAAGTTGTGGGATCTACGCACAAATAGGTATGCCCAATATGTACCCATACATGCCCCATTATGTAGGGCACTGGGTCCCCTGTTTTCCGGTCTCCAACTCCCCCCCCCCAACTTTCAACCAGTGAATCAATGTCATTTTCCTTCTCATTCCCAGAATGTTTGTGGTCCACAGGACACATTGCATCTTCTGATTGATATTCAGGAAGACATTTTCCTGATAACCTGAGTTCATAATTTACAAGACATGCCAGTAAATTCCACCATCCAAGTGTTTCAGTAGCGTTAACTTTCCCCTGTCTGACTTCAGATGAAGTGCCGAAAAGATGTAACATGACACCAACTTGTTCATATTGTAGATGTGTGAAAAGGTTTGAAGGCCACATGAATCGAGCACATCACTGTGGGGTTGCCATCAGTCCCTGTGCAAAGTACATAGCCACTGGATCAGAGGATAAATCTGTAAGTATGGTCACTGTCTGGCTCATGCTTTTGAGATGGGAGGGGTCAGTGTTTGGGGCTGGTGACCTTGGCCCGACCATTCCTGTGGTTTTGTTTCTTCATGCTTACATGTATGCTTTTGAACCTGGGTCTTACGTATCCTATGGTTATCTTGTTAGTACATTTTAAAAAACCAATTTCCCAAGATTTTCGTCTCTAGAAGAAAGTTTCATATTATCATGCACACAACATTATGAAGTTTGTGCTGTTTGTACTTTAAGATCAGATTAATGTCAGTTTTTTCAATTTTCAAAGGAGTTTTAAAACAGTTTTGTCAGTCTTTGTAATCCCTGTTAAAATAACAATCTATACAGACAAGATAGACTCAAAATAGAGATGTTGTGACATGAAAGTTTTCAAGTATACCTGTAATTGCATTGGAGTTATCGTTTTCTGCATGCCATGTATGTATTTAATAATCTGTCAATGCTTTTTCAACTTTTTAAAGATTTAATCTGGAGGTTGAGTGCATTTTTTATTTATTTATTTATTTATTAGCCACATCCAACAGCAGAAATAATGCCAATTACAGGAATGAAAATAAATGAACGCAAATAAAAAAAAATTGCAATTTAAATTATGGCATATATAATTGCTTAGTAAAAACTCAAAATAATTAATAACGGATATGTATGTGCATGTATAAATAAATAAATAGAGAATACACATAGATAAATCAGTTAACAAGAAAACAAGACAAAAGGAAAACTATAAGGCTGAATGACGGTAATCCAGGAAATAAGATGTTGTAGGAGTGGAGGGGAATCACAACCTAGGGGAGCACAGGTGAAGTGACTATTGAAACAAAGACAAACAATAAACCGCAGACGAACATATTAACAAACATCAAATACAACACAAATAAACAGACACCTGAACATCCACCATCAAATACAACATAGAAAACCAG